CGTATATTGGTATGACGTTGGCGTCGTCGTCGACGTCGTCCGAAGACACATTGGTTTTCGCACTCTAACTTTAGTTTAAGTAAATGGATTTTACCATAAGGTTCAATACCACAAAAGGAAGGTTGGGATTGATTTTGGGGGTTATGGTACCAACAGTTAAGGAATTAGGGGCCAAAAAGGGGCCAAAAATAAGCATTTTTGTAACTTCCAGACATAACTTGTGTGTTAGTGTATAGATCTCTCTGACATTGAACCACAAGGTTCCATATCACAAAGGGAATGCTGGGATTGATTTTTGGGGTTATTGCCTCAAAATTTAAGGAAAAAGGGGCCAAAAAAGGGGCAAAAAACAAGCATTTTTCTAGTTTCATGACAATAACTTGTGTGTAAGTGTATGGATCTTTCTGAAATTGTACTACAAGGTTCCATATCACAAAGAAAAAGCTGGAATTGAGTTTGGGAGTAATTGCCCAAAACATTTAGGAATAAGGGGCTAAAAGGGGCATAAAAATAAGCATTTTTCTAGTTTCCAGACAATAACTTGTGTTCAAGTGTATGAATCTCTCTGAAATTGTACTGCAAGGTACCATACCACAAAGGGAAGGCTGGGATTGATTTTGGGGGTAATTACCTCAAAATTTTAGGAATTAGGGGCCAAAAAAGGGGCAAAAAACAAGCATTTTTCTAGTTTCAGGACAATTACTTGTGTGTAAGTGTATGGATCTTTATGAAATTGTACTACAAGGTTCCATATCACAAAGGGAAAGCTGGAATTGAGTTTGGAGGTAATTGCCCAAAACGTTTAGGAATAAGGGGCCAAAAATAAGCATTTTTCTAGTTTCCAGACAATAACTTGTGTTCAAGTGTATGGATCTCTCTGAAATTGTACTGCAAGGTACCATATCACAATAGGAAGGCTGGGACTGATTTTGGGGGTAATTGCCTCAAAATTGTAGGAATTAGGGGCCAAAAAGGGGAAAAAAACAAGCATTTTTCTAGTTTCAGGACAATAACTTGTGTGTAAGTGTATGGATCTTTATGAAATTGTACTACAAGGTTCCATATCACAAAGGGAAAGCTGGAATTGAGTTTGGAGGTAATTGCCCAAAACGTTTAGGAAATATGGGCCAAAAAGGGGCCAAAAATAAGCATTTTTCTAGTTTCCAGACAATAACTTGTGTTCAAGTGTATGGATCTCTCTGAAATTGTACTGCAAGGTACCATATCACAATAGGAAGACTGGGACTGATTTTGGGGGTAATTGCCTCAAAATTGTAGGAATAAGGGGCCAAAAAGGGGCAAAAAAACAAGCATTTTTCTAGTTTCAGGACAATAACTTGTGTGTAAGTGTATGGATCTTTATGAAATTGTACTACAAGGTTCCATATCAGAAAGCTTGGTTTGAGTTTGGGGGTAATTGCCCTAAACGTTTATGAATTTGGGGCCAAAAAGGGGCCTTAAAAAAACATTTTTCTAGTTTCCAGACAATAACTTGTGTTCAAGTGTTTGGATCTCTCTGAAATTGTACTGCAAGGTACCTTACCAGAAAGGGAAGGCTAGGATGGATTTTGGTGGTAATTGCCTCAACATTTTAGGAATTAGAGGCCAAAAGGGGCAAAAAACAAGCATTTTTCTAGTTTCATGACAATAACTTGTGTGTAAGTATATGGATCTTTATGAAATTGTACTACAAGGTTCCATATCACAAGGGAAAAGCTTGGTTTGAGTTTGGGGGTAATTGCCCTAAACGTTTAGGAATAAGGGGCCAAAAAGGGGCCAAAAAGGGGCATAAAAACAAGCGTTTTTCTAGTTTCCAGACAATAACTTGTGTTCAAGTGTATGGATCTCTCTGAAATTGTACTGCAAGGTACCATACCACAAAGGGAAGGCTGGGGTTGAGTTTGGGGGTTATGAATCATAAGGGGATTCAAAAAATTTGGGGGAGGGATTTTTTTCCCTTTTTTTCCTTTTTTTTCTTTAAAATTTTCCATTTTAAATTGGTTATTTCTGATTTATATATAAAAGCAAATAATAATGATATGGTTTGAAAAGGTAAATTACAAGGTTTTAAGTTCTTAGACCACATTCATTCTGTGTCAGAAACCTATGCTGTGTCAAACATTTAATCACAATCCAAATTCAGTGCTGTATCAAGCTTGAATGTTGTGTCCATACTTGCCCCAACTGTTCAGGGTTCGACCTCTGCGGTCGTATCAAGCTCGCCCAGCGGAGCATTTTATTTTTTTATTATCGCAAGTCAAGAACCTTATCAGTGATTGACTTATCACATGTATAATATATTTTTGTTATTTAGAGAATTGAACAATCTCAAATATTTTCTGTTTAATTCATACAAAATTATAAACACCAGACTATTAAGAGTTTTACAGATTGTAACGAAATCTGCCTATTGCTGAAGACAGTATGGTTGACCTCTCAATTTTTTTTGCTTTGTGTGTCGTTTGGTTTTTCTGCAATTTGCATGTACCCCACGTTTCGTTGTAATGATTTTGATTGATGATTCTGGTCTTTTAGTCTATGCTTCATCCTTTTCTGTTTAACTATCTTTTCCTGAACATTTTGCGCTTTTTTTAACATGTAACACGAATGGACATATGCGCTGAAAACACTTTGGACATTTGCGCTTATAACTGTAATACACCTGTATTAAATTGACAGGACATTTGCGCTAAAATTTTACCTATGAAATCTAATCATTACGCAAATTAAAATCAACGTATATTCGTATCATTCATCGATTTAAAATCGGAAACTACATTCCTCTTGTGTTAATTCTATAGCCTGGAAAGTCAGAGGACTTCTCACGTCAATGCTTATCTTAGTTTATTTAAACCAAAGGCTGTTTCTACATTTTGTACATCTCTGGCTTTCACGTGTTTGGGTGTGACCATTTCTGATGAAAGTTAATCGAGAAAAGTGCCCAGAACACATGAATGAATGCAACAGTAATTAGTCATCTTCCTGTTTAATAGATTACTGTAAGACTAAAGAAGAAAGAAAATCAGTTCGCTAATTTACATACAGTTAAAAAAAACAAGGTTAAAATGTTCCTTTCGTTTTTTCTGTATTGAAATTCTACACAGCTTTGTTCAGGACATTGCACAAGATGGTGTCTACTTGTACTGTTTGTGACCTTCTTGTACGCATATTGCTGATCGTGTTGCTGAATGAAATCTACTATAAAGTACAGCCACTGATGTTCTAGTGGATGGAATTACTTCATACCAGCGGGATGTTCTTTGAACTTGCTTTCCGGTTCTACAAGCATTTTGAGACGGTATGGATTCGATCCTATTTTAGAGCTTGGAAATGTTGCAAAGACATCCTTCTATTGTTAAAGACTATATGTTGTCTTTAAGATGTCATTTTGTAATTTTTATCTTTGGTCTCTTTGACCTATACTTCATATCTCTTTTCATTCAGATTTACTATTGCTTTGTCTGTACTTTTGTTTTTATTATCTATTTTACCTTTATTCTGCAGATGGCAGATCTTTTAAAGTCTTTGTTAAATTTATTCACAACCTTTTAGACTCCGGATGATTGAGAGATTGAAGACTTTCTGAAGTTGTTGAATACCCTATGTTGGCCTGTCTTGATGTCTTTTGATTTTATTTTTTGTTGAGTTGCTGTCTCACTTACATATACCAACATCTTTTATTCTTATTTGTATAATTGTTGCTTTGATCATCTGAAATTAAATACAAGTTTGCTAGTGAGGGGACTAAAATAAGAACTCAATTAGAATACCAAATATTAGTTAAAATATCAATCAACATACATTTGTAACTTAATAAATATATTGGCACTAAATATGTTAACCCCTTTGATCCTTTCAACCTGGATGAAATTATTATTGGATCGGCATCGTTGTACAGAAAACTGGTATATAGGTTTAATGGAAGACCATTTGATATTCTGGGGGAGGAGGATTTTTTCCGGATTGATCATTTATCTTCCATCTGTTGCTACGCATTTTTTTCTGTACAAAAAAATATTTTCTCTTTTGTACACACATTTGTTTCTTGCATTTTGTTTGCATAATATTCATTCTCATCATGTCTTGTGCAAAGTTATTTATTTTCAGTTCTTACCAGGCTAAGTTTTCCATTTTTTAAATCCCCCACCCTTATTAATTAGATGGTCGTCCACTTACCAGTGAAGAAGAGGACTAGAAGATAGTGTAAAAGGTAAATAAATTGAACATTCTGATATTACAGCTAAACTTCTGACTGGGGTTGAAGTAAAACTAGTAAATCATTTGAATATTAAGAATCCTTATCTGATTGACACCATTGTTGGGAGTAAACCTCTTCACAATATTTGGTTTTCTTTGACTGCTAAGAATAGTTCTAAAATTTCTATTTATGTTTTTTTTTTTGCATTTTTCAAGTATCTTATATAAGGTAGAAAAGAGCATCCTTTTCTTAGATATTTATACCAAAAGAGGACAATATATATATATATATATAAGATTTCTAAAATTTCTTCCATGGTAAAGGCTGCGAGTGTGTAAGTGAGATTGATGAACAATGCCTTCAAAATAGTAAAGTGTTCCTTTAATAATAGTATTGAACGAGGCATTATCAGCTGTAACCACAACATATATCATGTAGGGAGCTGAGAATATTCATAAGGTCTGGTTCACTAAATATGTTTCAAATTTGGTATTCATTAAACCTTGTAATTTGATGGATTATGTCTTAACCAATTCAGTATAATGTATATAGTTCACTGATCCCTGTTTCACACATTTCCTGATGTGGTCCTATAAAACCCACTTTATTCAAGTTCACCAACAGCCTGAGATCCTTTTTCCAGATGATGGGTGTGTGTATGCAATATTTGTCAATGGCCAAAGTCCCCTGTGATAAGATGCACCAAAGGATGAAATTCAGCATACTTGTTACAATTGGCCAATACTAAATTTTGTTCCAAAAATTTACAAAAGGGAACATATTTGAAAAATAAAAATGCATAAAGATTTTCAAAAATGTATTTATTATAACTTGCAATGTCATGAAGCATTTATCACAGATGTATATAACAAGGCTCCAATAGATTGACATATAAACGTCATATATATCCTGTTTGGCTACTAAAGCTATGAAGACAAATAAGTAACATAATACAATGTGATATCATTAATACAAATGGATGGATTCATAAGAAAATATATGTACACTCTTTCTACTTTGTAGAAAAATCTCAAAATGATTAAAATTCCATGAAAGGGACTTTTGATTTGTATTGCCCCTTGATGTTTTTACCTTTTTATCACAGCAAATGGGTATTTGTAATTTCATTTAAAAGATACCACTGATGACTATTATAAGTCCCTCAAGCAAAGTATATTTGTTTGTTAATATTTTCAGAGACTAAGGCAATTACCAGGAGTATCCCCCAAAATCCTATGAGTAAACCAACTTTAAAAAAATGAACATGAGATCAGCACAATTTGATTAAGATCTAAAATCTCTTATATATTAAATCATCCTTTTAACTTTACTGAAGTGTATTACATGTGCAACGTAAATAAAATTATAAATTAAGTCACATCTTGGGAGTGGCTCTTTTGAATGCAGGGAATTTTGGGTTTTATCCCTAAACACTAATACCAAAAAACTTAACAATGATAATAGCTACACAGTTAAGGTGGAGTTGCCATAATATCACAGAAGCATGGGTTAAAATCCAGCTGAGTGAAGAACAAATATTTGATCCTGCATATGTTGGTATATATATAAAAGTCAGAGTTGTGTAATAATAAGACAAGAGACAGTCGAAGGATACATGATAAAAAGAAGGTAAAATAAGTTATTATTACAATACAATAACAGAACAAACAAATGTCAATAAAACATGCACTTGCCATTTTATTGGATTTCAAGATACCAGAAAACAATCGGTCTAGATCTTTAAGAAAATGTGCAAATTTTGAGAGTAGTAGGTAATTCATGTGTAAGAATTTTCATTTCAATATAGAAAATGACATGTTTTATCATATTTATGGTTGTATTTTACAAAATAACAGAATACTTTTGTTTGATTAAATTTTTTCCAACTTTGCCACATAAGGGGAGGCAACTCAAATGTAAGGGCAGATAATTCAGATAAAGTTACTTTTACAATAGAATGTGTTATTAATTTACCCATTTTATTATGTAGCAAGAAAACGGGTCCCGTGACCCCATTTTTTCTTTTTCTTATCTGAAAGCATAATATTAGAGCTATCTTCTCATATTTTATCTCAAAATTCTATGGTGTAGTTTTCGTTTTATGGCAGAAAATTGGGTTTTCCATGCATAATCTATACAAAATCTGTCAATTTTGCACAACCTGTAGCGTGAAAATAAGCCCCGTGACCCATTCTTTTTATTATTTTTTTTTAAAAAGCATGATATAAGCTACATTTTGGCAAATTATTAAAAAATTCTATGGATTATAATTTAGACACCCCATCTACCTCAAGATGTATGGTGGTTTTTTGGTACTGATTTCAAATTTATGAAACTTAACAAATATAATATACCTGTAATCGTTGGTTGTCAAGTTAAATTGCAGTCCTACTAATAAATACAGGAATATGAGTAACTCAAGAGTTCCTCAAAAGAATGAAATGGTGTCAACTATAGGATAATATACCAGTAATGGTTGATTGTCAGGTTAAATTTCATTCCTACTAATAAAAACAGGAATATGAGTAACTCAGGGTTCCTCAAAAGAATGAAATGGTGTCAACTATGGGATGATAGCGGATCTTCATTTTAAGAATTTGAAAATAATTTTCTAAAATACCGTTTTCTATTTATAGAATCAGCAGCCATTTTTGTTGGTTGATATTGGCAGCGGTAGAATTTCAAAATGAAACCACTACAAAATAGTTTAATAAATTTGGCCAATTATATTGGCTTTCTAATGAAAAAACACAAGACACACATGCAGTATAGAGTGCCTGGCATATATGATCGTAATGATGTTGAAATGGGCCCAAAAAATATTCATTATGAATTCATTGGAACAAATCATAAATATGAGTTCATAATCAACAGAAATGTCTGCTATGCAGCACATTCCAGTATACAAAAATATATTACTTAAGTTTTAAATTACTCATTTACAAAATTATCTATATCTTCGATAAATTATAAAGTATACAATAGTTATACTACATGACAATTTCCCATATAGAATTTAAATAAATATACATGTACTTCAAATTTATAATGAATTTATTGCATAGTCATTCATTGAGTATTTAAATTACTTACAAAGCATGAAAGCAATCACAGAGTTGAATAAGGTTTCTACTGATCTCATGAGAGCAAAAAAAACCTTGCCCAGCTTGGACAAGATAGAAACAAAATTACACAATGGAACTGCAATGCATTTAAATTACTTCATCATAGTTTTTTAAGGTGGTACCAAACACCTTGACTAAATTTAATTTGGCTCGTTTTATTTTCATAAAATTTTGACAAAATATTTACTTTGGCCCTTTGACAAACATATAAAAATTTCAATAAACTTGAACTACACACTTTGTCGGAAAAATTTCATTGGCCATATAGCAATTTGACAAACACTAATTTTGATCATTGAGAAGCTTTATATTTCCTTAACAATAGAATGTGATTAAAACGTTCAGCTGATTTTTACAGAGTTATCTCCCTGTAGTGTTATGTACCACCTTAAATTGATTTTACAAATATAATTCAAAGTTGTAATGTTAAATTTTTTATTTCAATGGCATAAACATAAATAAATTTGGACATTTAACATCTAATAATATGGAAATTATCATTATTACTTATTGAAAAACCTTTCTATTTTCTTTATAAGTAGACTAATACACATCTATACATTCCTTGGTATGTCAAAATTCCCTCTTGAAATAGTAGCTCTTACAAATGAAAACAAACTATAAATATGAATATGAAATATTGTACAATGTATTCAGATTTGTTTTAAAGAAATATTTTCCCAATAATCAGTCGAGCGAAGAAGGCAAAAATGTTTGTACAAGTTCTGAATTATAAATATGATAGATACTGCAACTTATATAGCTAGTAACCTACTTGTCTGTCAAATAAAAACATGATTTGCAAAGCATAAACAAAGAAACTCTCAGCTAATCAAACTTGTTCTCAATCATATTAAACACATGATTGAAATATAATTAACAAACAAAAAGCTATCAAAGTAAGTCTCAAATACTGTGGATTCATTGTTATTCGTGGGATACAAATTTTTGTGGATTACATGGTTAAAGGTGAAACACATATTTTAATGTGCAATGAAGTACAAATTGTTTATAGGCTTGTATGCAGACTTTTAAAAAACCATGAAATCAAATATCCATAATCATGATATTGCATGACATGAGATATTGTTAGTATATAAAGAATATATACCTCAATGCAATGTTATGTTTATTCACAAAAACAGCAAGTGACTAAAGGGATTCTATTGCATTTTGTGCAATCTTTGCAAAAAAACTATAAGAGGCTACATATATTTATATATATTAGTAAGTGAACTCACAACCATAAGTAACTTGAAATCAAATGACTGAAAAGGGGTACCTATCTCAATATAAAGCAAAAGGATCACACTGTTAAATGGTGAATCTAGTGTCAGCTGGTGCTTGCAATTTTTTCTACTGGTTTTATTGAATGATTAAATATGAGTATTATCAAATTCCTAAACTTGACTAGTCTTTATAATAACTGTAGCTAGCTAGAAATTTGTACTTCATTGCACATTAATATATGTGGTTCACCTTTAACCATGTAATCCACGAAAATTTGTATCCCATGAAAACAATATATGTTAATCTGAATGATTATTTGCTAAGATTTTAACAGTTTCTATGTAAAGAAGTGTTTACCCTGTGTCAGCTAAGTGTAATATCATTTTTTCTTACTAGTCATACTAGTTGTTACTCTGTTATTTTTATGTACCTCCTGTCATCATATCAAGCTCTTTAAAAAATGATCATATTTATTTCCAGTAGTTTTTAAAAACATATCAATTTTGAAATTTTTATAGAATTTTGCAAGACATGAGATACTTTTTAAATATGGTGCAGTACGGTGTATCTGCGCACCTAAGACTTTTGGCTTCACTTTGGCAATCTCATAAAACCAATAATGGGATAATATTGTGTGAACAAAATTATGGCATACTTTAATTTCATGAAATCTTTATGTATGGTTCTACTCTTCACATTTTATGTTATCTGTGTCCAAAATTAGGGAAACCCCTGTTTTAACAGTCCTTCAAATTTCAGGTGATTTCATGCATGCCTTCTAAAAATAGCTAATTTTGAATACAGAAAAGATTTTATCCTACAAAATACACTTCAGTATGAACCAAAGAGACTGCCAAAGATGTGAACCAAAATCTATTTCATTTTGATAAAAATTTGACTTAAAATGAAAATGATTTTATCTGATGATGTTATTTTTTTTAATGGAAAATGGTGAAATATGGTTAATCATGGGATTGCAATTATAAATTTATGCTTGAACTTATCAATTTTAATATTTTTTGTCGCTTCGAAAGACTTAACCATTTACAAGAACGATTTTATTTGTGTTACATTGTGGATATGACGAAATCAGGTAATGCACAATATCACCAGCCACGCGGACACAGGAGATTCCACTGTACTGTTTATGTTTTTTTGGCTGTTTGCTAAACACACTCAAATAAAAGGTAATACTAAACAATATCAATGCACTGAAAACTTGATAACTGATTCACATAGCTTTTATTTTTATAGCCTTCATTAGCAAATACCATGATACAATATTTTAAAGAAGCCACCCAATTTTTAACATACATCCTTCATACTTTAACATACATTCATAACAACATTGTCTCAAGCTTTGCCTACAGTTCAATACATTGTAAATCTATCTTCACTAATACTAATATAATACAAATAGAGGAGCACTTGTTTATAATATTTACCAGCATAAAATGTTAAAATGCCATTTTGTTTTGTTAATAATGATGCCCATTCATATAACTTAATTCTGAAAACCAACAAAAATACCATGTCCTCCCCCCCCAGATAGCAAAAACCAAAAATTCAGCAATTTTTCAATTTGTAAAGGGACATAACTCTAAAACAGTAAAAGTGAGGCCACCAAAATTCAAACTTGATCTTTGTTTTGTGGTAATAAGTATTGCACATAAATTTCATAACATTTGTAAGAGACAAACTTAAGTTAGAGAACGAAACGAAAAATTCTGCAATTTTTCCATTTGTAAAGGAGCATAACTGTAGAACGGTAAAAGTGACGCCACCAAAATTCAAACTTGATCTGTGTTTTGTGGTAATAAGCATTGTGTATAAGTTTCATAACATTTGATTGAGGCAAACTAAAGTAAGAGAACAGAAACCAGTTTTGTGACGTAAGTACGGACGGACGGACAAGGGTAAAAATTAATGCCCCCTCTACTACAGCGGGGGCATAAAAAGTTATACATGTTATATAAAGAATAACAAAACAATTTAGAATAAAACAAAACAAAACAGAAAAAATATGGATATCCTTAACCTACATTGTATATATTATTATTCTCTAAAAATTCTTGACCATCACAAAGCATTAATTTGTCATATTTCATGTGTTGTTTTATTAACTTTAATAAAGGTTTCCTGAATAAATTTTATGGACTCAAAAAATTACTTCGATTTGCACTATAAACAGAAGCTGAAAATAGAATTTCTATAAAGGCTCATGACTTCAATATTCTTCTAAATGATATGAGCCATGTCACTTATCATTTCTTAACAGGTCATTCCATTAAAAAACATACATCAGTCATGGTTAAATATAAATATATTGTATAGCAGCTATTCTGCAACATCATAATTTGTTTTTGTATGCATTTTATAAATGAGTTAATCAAGGTCAATCGGTCATGACATCATTGAACAATGATGTAAGAATATAAACATTCTATGGGAAAATGCATGAATGTGAAACTGAAAGTTGTCAAAACATGGAAACATAAACAAACACGGATAAGAAGTTGTTGAAAGCCCATTTTCTTAAAAAAAAAGTCAGATAATCATTTAAATTTAACTTCACTCAAACCTGTCTAAGTGTATTATTGTTAATGGTTTATTCATGTCACTAATTCATTTTTATTTGTCTTGTACGTCAATATTAATAGTGTATTTAATAACGGGAACAACAAATATTTGCCTTCACCTAGAGTGTTTCCAACCAAAAGAATTGCCGTCTTTGACCATGCCCATGGTAAAATATTTTGCATAAAGTGCCAACCTGTGGTAAAATAACTAAATTCAGCCCTAATGAATTATTTCTTAAATAAAGTATTCAAACCCGCATACTTGATTGTCTATGGTACGATAGTTAAATTATGCCCTCTTGAACATTATTTACAAATATAAATACATTCAGTTTATATTCAACTTTTAAATTCAATAATGTAAATTGAACAGTAAGAATGATAACTCTAGCTAACAAATATAAGCAAGCTATATTGTATCTTGATAAATAATTGTTACAAAGTAGATAACAGAATAAAACACAAAAAATAACGATTTATGTCATAGATTTAACAACCAAAGGTCACTCAACTAAAACATAAAACAATCGATAATAAAACATTTTTCCCCTGTCCCCTAACAAAGTAACAAAAATCACACCCATCTTCAAGAAATCCATACACCCCCTCCAACAAAAACCATGAACTTTATCTAACATGTTTATCTAAAAGGCCTATTTTGTATGTTGTCTTTCCTTCAATTTTGAAGAGGGCAAATATTTGCAGTGGTAATTTCTTTTAACAATTTAAAACAGTCTTATACATGTTATAAAATTCAAGTACAACCACATCAATTAAACATAAATAACTTTCAAAGATCTTTACTTCTAATTCAGGTTTACATTCAAACAATATCTTAATATGTTAAATATACTGTTTACTCAAATTAAAAAAAAAAATTGTTGAAATCTTAAATTCATAAAAAAATCATTTTAACATTTAAATTTATACTTGTAAAACCTCCAACATAATCCAAATTGAAAACAAAATTTGAATTTTTTAACAAATAAACTCTTTTGCATTATCAAGATGTAAAAGAATGCTTAGACCAGGGTTTTTTAATTTGTTGGTTTACAGATCAGCCGACCCTATTTTTCCAATTTGCAGAATAAAAATAAAATTGACATTTCATGCTTTTTTATTCCCGCCTACCCTAACAAATACATTATCCCTGAGACATAAATAAAAAATTTATTTTTTATGAAATTAAATGCATTAAACATAAACAGAAATAATTACGCATTGTGTTGTAAAAAAATAAAAATCTAAAAATAATCAGAAGGTTTACGTATCTAAAAATAGACAATCATAACTGACCTTGAAATGGTAATTGCGCAAATAATTTTGCAGAATGAAACCTGTGTTAAAAACCCATTACAATAAGTTTGTTTTCCTTTCTTGTCATAATTTTCGTAAGATTTATCAATCTCATAGATGAAATGGGCCCGTCCAAACGTGAAAGATGTCAAGTTAAGAGTAAGAGATATTCACAAACAATTTAGAATTTTCTGGTTTCATAGATTGAAGAAAAAAGTTCGTCCATTTGGATATCAAAAAAGGGAATGCATGACAAATGATGAAACCAATATCCTTGTCTTTCCAGTAGACGAGTCTACTTCGTTTTTGATACGGATGGTAAAGTCTTATTTTCATACGACGTGTTTGCAATTTTTATTTGACATGTTTTCGTGCTTGAAGATCATTATTCACCTTTCCTGAAAGTAAATAAAAAGCAAAGTGGAGCTGTTTTTTCTTGTTTGTGAAATGACGATTTAATTTCATATTTGTCTGTGGACATATCCCCCTTTTTTGAAATTATATGACAATGGCATGCATTGAATGTTTAAAACAGCTGAGCAATAATATTTGGAACTAAAATTTAAAATGATGACAAAATAGCATACCAAAAATATTGTTAGTAAGCTGAAATATATATTTATGTTTTACATATATCATATGTATTGCAAGATATTTTTTTTTTTTTTTCCCAACTGACCAACATGACTTTTTCATGTAAAAAATCTGTAAACCAACAAATTAAAAAACTCTGGCCTAAATACAAGAATATTTATGGAAATAAATCGTCAACTTCAGATATATGAGTTAATTGCTAAACTGGCATTGAAAAACCCCTAATTCAGAGATAGTTCTTGAAGATGCAGACCTACCTACTTTTGAAAATCCCCATGGTGGTTTTAGTGCGCGACCAGATTTTTAAGGGTTACAATTTTAGCGGTGTTTCTGTGTGCACTGTTTTTTACTCTTGAAATATGGTATACTGAGGATAAGCTTATTAGCCTTTATTTCTTGCCTCAAAAATAAGGATACAAAATGAAGACCCCCATTTCCCCTTCCAAAGACCTTCTCATCTTTGCAACATGACTCAAAAGACCTAAACCTAAATGTCCTAAAGTTAGAAGGATGAAGACAGATCTTGAGTTAATAGTCTATCAGAAATGAGAAAATGGATAAAATTTGAGTTATCTTTCTTTGTATTCAGAGGTTCTCCTACATCCATAGGCTTACACACAGTAGAAGTGAAAACAATACGGCACCGATTTTTAAAATCAGAACTGGACAGAAACATGTCTGATTTCAAAAATTTTAAACGGATTTCAAGATAAACGTCTTTAAGATAATTATGATTTTATCATGAAACTACAGTAAACCTTGCAAATTATGATAGTATGATAAATTGATTATAATTGAAATGCTGACTGACCGCTTCTATTTTTTCGCGTAGACTTTGTGAAAATCAGGATTTTGACTATCGGGATTCAGGTTGAGGCATGAAAATCGGGATGATTCTGCCAAAATTGGGATAGTTGGCAGGTCTGAAGACAGTGTAAAATATCCTTTTGAAACTTGCTGTTTTTAAATGTTCAAGCTTTAGATATACCTTAAAGTTGGTAAATCTTTAATCCTATTATTTCTATAGGTTGTTTAACACCCTATAAGGGAATTGTAGTTTCTACTTTAACATAAAAGATTTGCTAGCTTTTTAAGTAATTTGTCCTACCAATTTTTACCAATTTCTCAAAACTATTTAAAAACCCACGATCTTTTTTGTTTTGAGATTTGCCCTCCAAATATCTATTGTACTTCAAAGGAATCAGGGGAGATAACTCTGGAAGATAACAGTCATCCTTCAATACTGGTATTAATCTGCTGCTTTTGTCCTTAAATGTTATAGTTTCCATCAATAGAATCTCATTCACGAATCTTGGCAGCTCATCCTGGGCAAATTTTTTTGTCACAAACACGAATAAGAATCTACAGGTTCCAAACAGAAGTGGTGCTGATGCTAACATACTTTTTCCTGCATTTAACTCTTCAAATATTTTTAAATTTAGTTTTAATTCTGGAAATTCTGTCTCCATATTTTGAATGAGTTCTAATACTAGTTCTCTGTCATCTTCAGCATGAAGAATTACAGCATCTGTGACATCTGTGATATCTGTGAAAAAATCATTTATACAGAGTTTAAAATTACTTCTTTCAGTCTCTCTTTTATAGGAACTAAGACTAGTTTAACTGGGAATCCACAAACATACATCACTTATTGTCATGATTGAGTTTAAAATTTAACAAGTAACATATTGAGTGTCAAGTATTATATAATGACTTTTCAAATCAATAAACTTCAGGAAGAGAGAAATTATAATCTGGAGAATATCTTGGGTACCTCAAACATTTTTTTACTTTCCTAAGGTTTCTATCTTGAGTCAAGTTATTATTTGTTTAGTCCATTTTGTCTATCCCTCAGTCTATTCCTTTCTGTCTTTTATGACATGAAAAAGACAGAACTACAGCAGTCTCATTGTAGTAAAGGAAATTTACATTTGTTGTTAAAACTTCAGTCTGGTTATTTTCAATCAGATATTGAAATAGATGACCATCTTTGATGATATCAGTAGTTGACTCCCAAGATTTTTGAAGATATTTCCAAATCTCCTTCTGAAAACCAGTATCTAGACAAAAAACTCTTCCAATTATATGTATGCAAAACAGGAAAGTAGATTATTAACAAACTAGAGGCTCTAAAGAGCCTGTGTCGCTCACCTTGGTCTATGTGCATATTAAACAAAGGACACAGATGGATTCATGACAAAATTGCGTTTTGGTGATGGTGATGTGTTTGTAGATCTTACTTTACTGAACATTCTTGCTGCTTACAATTATCTCCATCTATAATGAACTTGGCCCAGTAGTTACAGTGGAAAATATTTTGTAAAAATTTACAAAAATTTACAAAATTTATGAAAATTGTAAAAAATTGACTATAAAGGGCAATAACTCCTTAAAAGGTCAATTGACAATTTTGGTCATGTTGACTTATTTGTAGATCTTACTTTGCTGTACATTATTGCTGTTTACAGTTTATCTCTATCTATAATAATATTCAAGATAATAACCAAAAGCTGCAAAATTTTCTTAAAATTACAAATTCAGGTGCAGCAACCCAACAACGTGTTGCCTGATTGGTCTGATTTCAGGGCAGATAGATCTTGACCTAATGAACAATTTTATCCTGTCAGATTTGCTCTAAATGCTTTGGTTTCAAAGATATGAGCCAAAAACTGCATTTTACCCTATGTACTATTTTTTAGCCATGTCGGCCATCTTTGTTCGCGGGCGGGGTCATCGGACACATTTTTTAAACTAGATACCCTAATGATGATTGTGGACAAGTTTGGTTAAGTTTGTCTTAGTAGTTTCAGAGGAGAAGATTTTTGTAGAAGATTACAAAAATTTACGAAAAATGGTTAAAAATTGACTGTAAAGGGCAATAACTCCTTAAGGGGTCAATTGACAATTTTGGTCAAGTTTGACTTATTTGGAGATCTTACTTTGCTGAACATTATTGCTGTTACAGTTTATCTCTATCTATAATAATATTCAAGATAATAACCAAAAACAGCAAAATTTCCTTAAAATTACCAATTCAGGGGCAGCATCCCAACAACGGGTTGTCAGATTCATCTGAAACTTTCAGGGCAGATAGATCTTAACCTGATAAACAATTTTACCCCATGTCAGATTTGCTCTAAATGCTTTGGTTTCAGAGATATAAGCCAAAATCTACATTTTACCCCTATGTTCTATTTTTAGCCATGGCGGCCATCTTGGTTGGTTGGCCGGGTCATCGGACACTTTAAACTAGATACCCCAATGATGATTGTGGCCAAGTTTGGTCAAATGTGGCCCAGTAGTTTCAGAGGAGAAGTTTTTTGTAAAAGTTTACGGACGACGGACGGCGGAAGCCAAGTGATGAGAAAAGCTCACTTGGCCCTTTGGGCCAGGTGAGCTAAAAAGGATATGCTCTCAACCATGAAAAACAAAATTTTTGTCAGTAGTGGAATACAATATTATATAAACTATGCTGTATAAGAATTCTTTAAGTCACAAATGAGATATTGATATAAATGAACTGAAAGAAAATTTTATTGACTGGGATCTAATTATAAAATTAATGTTCCTTCTTAAAATGACACTATAAGTTATATGGTTCGCTACTGACCCCTTACGGATCCATAGAGGGTTAGTAAAATCCATAGGGGGTGAGGCCAAAGGCGGAATCTCCTATGTATTTTACTCACCTTTTATGGTCTGTAGGGGGTCAGTAGTGAACTGTAGAACGAATTTATTGCACGCAGGACTCTTTCTGCCGAGTTTTGTAGAAAAATAAACAATGAAACACAACAACATTAATAGATGGATGACCATTAACAGTAGACGTGACATCTTGAACCCCATATGAAATTTACTAACCCCCTACAGATCTATAGGGGGTCACCATGTGACGGCGTTAAACCAATCACAATGTAATAATTTACCCGTGGGGCGATCATTTTTTTTCGTTATATTTTTGCGGTTTGCAACATAAGTATTGTGGTTAAATTTTGCTGTCAAATTTTGGCACATTGAGTCAATATTGTATTATTATTTTCGCATAATGATATTCATTGTTCAATTAGTCTTCAGTGACTCAGCAATGAGATCATTTTTAATTCCAATAATTTGAAGAGGGTAGATTTACTAAAGTTTACGTTGTATTAATGGTGTGTTCACGTTTCTCCAACATTTGATTTTTTTTGTATACCGTTCAGGGCTTCTAAAAATATTTGTGCCAGCAGGACATTTTTTGTCTTATCCCAAGTTTAATCCCTTAAGCATGTTAAGACTAAGTAGCAAAAGACAATCATGCAATCAGTTGGGCATCATATAAACAAAGATTGACCTGAAAACTATGTTAAACTTGACTTTTGATACAAATGCAATGAACTGACATAAAGTGTTAAATTGACAGTGCATAATTCGAAGTGTACAACATTCATTTGACATTAGCCTACTAATATCTGCCTTAGAATCTTTATTTGTGCAAAATTATGTTTTCAAAATCTTCACTTTTGTTTTTTCAAAAAGGCACATTTTCTAATACCTGATGTTTCCTTGACAATGGTAAAACACGGACCAGAGACAGATACCGGTACTTAAAATCAGTGTACATTTACACAGCATGATTGAGATTTTAGCTTGTGAGATTTAGTTATGCATCTGAATTCTTCAAAAATGCTAAAATTATCATTGATACCTTTATCTAACATTCATTTCAAGTATTTTAACCGAGCACATGCGCACACATGTACTTGTTTAAACAACGTTGTTCTGATGATATTTCGCTTAAACCTTTATAACTGCCTTTTTAAATTTTTCATCAAATCATGCTTTTATACATATTTTTGATAATCTTAATCTTTTTAACTAAATTCATTAGATGCAAACCGCTGAAATATGTGAAAATAACTTCAAATAGACCGATCAATGTGCAGTACATATTAGTTAACCTGTCACCTGAACAGGTAAATTTCAACTCTCTGAAAACTAATTAACCTTGATTGTAATGAGAGGGTATTAAAGTAGGGTTTGTTTTTATAGTACTTATTCACCATGTCACTTGTATGACCAGAAATGTGGCTGTTTAAGGCAAAAGAACAGGTTAAAAGATGGCAAAATCTTTTTTTTGAATTATGTTAAAATGGCAAACCCAATGTCCATTTCAGGTTCGGCACAACAAGTTATAAATATAATTTATCTGTCAAGTACGGACAATATGATTGTTTTGGAAGTCCTGATACAAGAAAATAATTTCTCATTATTGAGAACAGTGAAAAAACCTTATTGATTTGTGTTATTTTATAATATTGACCTGGTAATCAAGTAAGATGGGCCAATAATTAAAATGTCATGTCATTTGATGTTAGGGTCCTACGAATTATACCATTAGACTAAGTGCAATTGTTAGTTTTCTCACCAAATTAAATTATGTATCACATAATATATTTTATCATTGTAATCCAAAAAATGGCATTTGTATTTTTGAGCAATGTTTTATTTTGGTGTGATTAATTTTGGCACTTTTATCTTAGTCATCAAATAACCCCAAAAATGACTATTTACAGTATGTAGATTCTCATCCAACTTTTTAAAAACATTCATAGGGTGGGCAATATTTATTTTCTTAAGGAAAGACATTAATGTGGTATCAGGGCTAATGGTAAATGAAGACATATGGAAGAAACATTTTCTAATTGCCTAATAATGATTTTTACATATCTACATGATCTATATATACTCATTACCTTTTTCATCATTTTGACCTGATGCAGTTTCCACCTGTTCTGGAACAGATTTGTCAGTACCAGTACCTGGTTCAGCATCTGCCATAGGTAAAGATGTCTTACATTCAGGATTAGTGTCAGATCTACGATAATTAACCTCCTGAACCTCAGGAGTAACATTATCAGTATAACTCTGGTCATCTAGGTTAGGTGAAAGATTGTCACTATTACTTGTCATTGTGCCGTACTCTGATGTACTTTCATTGCTTTCGTTATCCACAACACTTTCTGTAACAGTTGGGTCATTATCTGATTGACCTTGTCCTGTGTCAAGGTTATTGTCATTAGTCCTTACAATAGGATTTTGTACAGAACTAACGGTAATGTTTTGATTGGTATTTTTAATACTGAGATCCCTTGTAGTAGAACCAGCTGGAGGCAGGGATGTTTCTGGTGATATTGTAGGCAACTGAGGACTTGGTTCTGATATATTCATTGCTGAGATACAAGGTTGAAGTAGTTCTGAACTCTGTGGTTTTTCTGGCTGACTTATATGTGATGCTACATTTTCCTCTTGAACTACTTGTGACTGGATTATATGATGAGCTGGACTTACAGAATGAGTATTTTGTGTCTGAGTAGATTGTGGAATATTATGGTCAAATGGAATCTGATTGGATGCCTGAGAAGTATAACTACTGGTAGACAATAAAGTCTCCTCTTCTCGTAAACTTAATCCTGGAAATTCCGAATACCTAAAGGAATTTGCTGGTAAAAATGGCTCCTCAATAGTAGAATCTGGTATTGTCTCATTTAAGACATGTCTATATTCACTCACTGAAATGGTATCAATGAATATTTTGTAATATAAAAATGATATTTTTGCAAATGAAAACAGAAGCTTAGATGCAATGATATTGGACTTATTATCATTAGTATCAAAAGCGGTTTAAATTTTTTTGTGTGTTGATTTAAATGTTTCAAACTCACTCCCAATCATTTAACAGAAAATAGATTACTTTTTTGCTATGGTTGTAATAAATGTTTTTTGTCTCATACTCAAGCTTCTGCATAATATCAGCTATGTTTTCTCATTTTTTTTTCTTCTTTTTAATAAACATAAATAATTTGATTGTGTATTGCTGGCACCCTTGTGGTCTTAGTTTGAATAAAAGTAGTGATCAATCTATCATACTGCATTTACACAAGTATAATAAACAGCTGCACCATGAGCGCATGATACGCCCGTCGTCTTGTGTGTGAATTTTTATGCAATAAGCATAAATAGTTTCTGACATACGGCGTGACATGCGAAAACCCCCTTTTTTTTTTTATAAAAAACTCAATATCTCTAAAATAAAATTTTGAATCAAAACCAAAAAGTATACAGATCTTTAGTTTGTATAACTAAGAAGTGTGTAAAATTTTAAGCAATAATCATAAATCGTTTTTGAGATACGGCGCGACGTGAAAACCCCCCTTTAAAAAAAAAAAATCAATATCTCAAAAATAAAATTTTGAATCAAAACCAAAAAGTATACAGATCTTTAGATTAATATAACTAAGAAGTGTGTAAAATTTTAAGCAATAATCAAAAATCGTTTTTGAGATACGGCGCGACGTGAAAAACCCCTACCCCTTTTTTACAAAATACTCAATAACTCAAAAATAAAATGTTGAATCATCACCAAAAAGTATACAGATCTTAAGGTTAATATAACTAAGAAGTGTGTAAAGTTTTAAGCAATAATCGTAAATTGTTTTTGAGATACGGCGCGACATGTGAAAAAAAAAACACACACCTGTTTTAGTTACTAAGTCCCGTAACTCAAAAAGTTTTAATCTTATTTTCACCAAAAAGTATACAGATCGTTTGACCATCATAAGAAACAACTATCTTAAGTTTCATGAAATTTGGATAAGTCATTATCAAGTTACGGTGCGACATGTTTAGGCCGGACAGACAGACGGACGGACACTGGACATTTGTATACCATAATACGTCCCGTCAAAAATTGACGGGCATATAAAAACTAGAGGCTCTAAAGAGCCTGTGTCCCTCACCTTGGTCTATGTGCATATTCAACAAAGGACACTCTCCAACATTGTAGACGAGAATAGAACTCATTACAAAAATCTCTGTTTTGTTGATCTTGTAATGCTGATCATTAAGTCTGTTTAGTTTCTCTCTATCTGCTTTAGTATTTGCTCAAAACACAAAAGAGGGTAAAAAAAAATCCTCATTTAAGGGCAATCACTCCAATTAAGAGTGACAGTCTACTAGCTATATTGGCAAAACTTGACTTGTAAGTAGATCTTGCCTTGCTGATAATTTTTGTGCTTTAAAGTGTCTATCTATCTATAATAATTTTTATCATATAAGGCAAAACGCAAAAAAAATGGTAAAAATCATCATTAAAGGGCAATAACTCCAATAAAGAGTCGTGGGACGATTTCAAGCAGATGGTCTTAATTGTAGATCTTGTCTTGCTGATCATTTTTGGGACAATAACTCCTATAAGAAGTCGTCTGACAGTTTTAGTGTATATGAACAATTGGTAAAGCTCAATATTTTGAACATTTTTGCTCTTGTCCGATTTTCTCTATTTATAACAGATTTTCTCTATTTATAATGGTTTTAAAAATAATAGACAAAACTTGCATTTACCCCTATGCTCTATTTTTAGCAGTGTCGGTCATCTCGGTTGGCAAGCAGGGTAATTGGGCACATTTTTTAAACTAGATACCCCAATGATGATTATGGCCAAGTTTGGTTAAATTTGGCCCAGTAGTTTCAGAGGAGAACATTTTTGTAAAAGTTAACGATGACAGATGACGCTGGACGCCAAGTGATGAGAAAAGCTCACTTGGCCTTTAAGGCTAGGAGAGCTAAAAAATGTCAACCTTTTATTAAAAATCTTGATTCAACCCCTTGGTAAAACTTTTCAAATATGATAGGACAAAGTTAAAAGTTCATAGCATCAATTCCTAATTGATACTGTTATATTACCCTGTGTTTGGTATGATTTTTGGTTATGAAAAAATATAATTTTGTTTTTGTTTTTTGTTTTTAAGGACATAGATATAAGAAGATGTAGTATGAGTGCCAATGAGACATTTCTCCATCCAAGTCACAATTTGTAAAAGTAAACCATTATAGGTCAAAGAACGGCCTTCAACACGGAGCCTTGGCTCACACCGAATAGCAAGCTATAAAAGGCCCCAAAAATAACTAGTGTAAAACCATTCAAACAAGAAAACCATCAGTCTAATCTATATAAAATATGAGAAACGAGAAACACTTATGAACCACATCAACAAACAACATCCACTGAACATCAGGTTCCTGACTTAGAACAGGGGCAAACAAATGCAGCGGGTTTGAACATTTTATCTGGCGCCAACCTTCATCCCAACCTGAGACAGTGGTGTAACAATACGACATAAAAGGACACACTATAAAACATTAATTGAATAAAATGCTCCGCAGGGTGCAGCTTGATACGACCGCAGAGGTCGAACCCTGAACAGTTGGGGCAAGTATGGACACAACATTCAAGCTTGATACAGGTTTGCATTTGGATTGTGATTAAATATTTGACACAGCATAGGTTTCTGACACAGAATGAATGTGGTCTAAGAACCTAAAAATTTTAAATTGGACATTCACCTATTATGGTCCAATATCCAAAATCTAAATACATGGTTAGATTCAGCATATCAAAGAACCCCAAGAATTCAATTTTTGATGAAATCAAACAAAGTTTAATTTTGGACCCTTTTGACCTCAATGTGGACAAAGTTGATAACGGGGCCCAAAAATCAAAAATCTAAATACATGGTTAGATTCAGCATATCAAAGAACCCCATATATTCAATTTTTGTTGAAATCAAACAAAGTTTAATTTTGGACCCCGATTTGCAACAACTTGAAAACTGGGCCCATAATAAAAAATCTAAATACATGTTTAAATTCAGCATATCAAAAAACCCTAAGAATTCAATTTTTGTTAAAATCAAACTAAGTTTAATTTTGGACCCTTTGGACCTTAATGAAGACCAATTTGAAAACGGAACCAAAAATTAAGAATCTAAATACACAGTTAGATTCGGCATATCAAAGAACCCCAACAATTTAATTTTTGATGAAATCAAACAAAGTTTAATTTTGGACCCTTTGAACCTCAATGTGGACCAATTTAAAAACGGGGCCCAAAATCCAAAAACTAAATACACGGTTAGATTCAGCATATTAAAGAACCCCAAGAATTCAAGAATAAAACCCCATTGAAATTGGTCAAGAAATAAGCAATTTATACGAAGTATCTTCTTTTGCACAATACTGTGCAATTAAATATTTCTTGCTATTGCGCAATACTGTACAATTGACAATTTCTTGCTATTGCGCAATATTGTGCTATTGGATATTTCTTGTTATTGCGCAATACTGTGCAATTGAAGATTTCTTGCTATTGCGCAATACTGTGCAATTGAAGATTTCTTGCTATTGTGCAATACTGTGCAATTGAAAATTCTTGCTATTGCACAATACTTGTTATATAATAATTTACACATCCTGTTTGGTGTGTATCTCCTACCATATCATTATTATTTGCTTTTAAATATAAATCAGAAATAACCAACTTAAAATGGAAAATTTTAAAAGAAAAAAAAAAGGAAGAAAGAAAAAAAAGGAAAAAAAAAATAAACCCCCCCAAATTTTTAGAACCCCCTTATGATTCATCACACCCAAACTCAATCCCAGCCTTCCCTTTGTGGTATGGTACCTTGCAGTACAATTTCAGAGAGATCCATACACTTGAACACAAGTTATTGTCTGGAAACTAGAAAAATGCTTATTTTTGACCCCTTTTTGGCCTCCAATTCCTAAACGTTTCGGCAATTACCCCCAAACTCAATTCCAGTTTTCCCTTTGTGATATGGAACCTTCTAGTACAATTTCAGAAAGATCCATACACTTACACACAAGTTATTGTCATGAAACTAGAAAAATGCTTATTTTTTGCCCCTTTTTTGGCCCCTAATTCCTAAAATTTTTAGGCAATTACCCCCAAAATCAATCCCAGCATTCCTTTTGTGATATGGAACCTTGTGGTACAATGTCAGAGAGATCCATACACTAACACACAAGTTATGTCTGGAAGTTACAAAAATGCTTATTTTTGGCCCCCAATTCCTTTACTGTTGGTACCATAACCCCCAAAATCAATCCCAACCTTCCTTTTGTGGTATTGAACCTTGTGGTAAAATTTCATAGAGATCCATTGACTTTAACTAAAGTTAGAGTGCGAAAACCAATGTGTCTTCGGACGACGACGACGACGCCAACGTCATACCATACGACCACAAAATTTTTTTGGCGGTCGTATAAAAAGGCTCAACTCATCAAAGTATGAATACTAACAGATTTTAGACAAAAGTTAGACCATGAAAACCAAATTACCAATAGTTGAAGTATAAACCACAGAAAAATATATCAAAGCTACAATGAAGATAACAGTTTTATACTTAATAGATTTGTTAGTAACAAATTCAAAGCAAATACTTGAAATAGCAATATACCATATTATGTCAATATAGTTATCTCCTAATCTGAATGCATAGCCCCATGTCAAAATTAGTTCCTTTAATATTTAGCCAATTTTACTCTCCTTGACTGAACAAATAATCAATGTTCCGGTATGCTTGGATTGTTCTTAGTTCTTCATTGGTCAATATCTCATTATTACATCAAATTGTTTAGCCTTCCTTTAAGTTTTGCTATTGTGACATCACAAAAAGAACAAGCCTGATGACGTCTTATAGAACTAATACAACTAATTTTAAGCTAATCACAAAATTTTTTTCTTCTTCTAAAAATCATAAGAGAGACAGACTTCACAACCGTATTTCATACAATATGATATTCCTCCAATCTCATCAGTTAGAAATAAATATCTTTAAATAACTTGGAAAGAGTAGTCAGAATAATGTGACCAGGGTAGGTTGACATTTCTTCCTGTTACCTTGTGAACTATCACATTGAAAATCTGGCTCAACAGCATGTTGTCTAGTACAGAGTAGGGTTTATATTCCTATCACATTGTCATGTTCTGTTTCTGAATGTGCATTTAATTTTCATTTGGATATATCATTTGGAACAGTTTTAATGGTTTTAAGAGTTGTAGTAAAAAGTTAATAACTAAAAAGTTTGTACAAGGCTTAAAACAGGTAAAATGCAAGGCTTTATAAAATATGAAGATTTGGTAGGATTGCATATGAGCTTACTAGTCCAAATGAAGTTGATTTAAGCAATTATAGGTTACCATATTTAACTTTAACTGTCTCAAGTTGAGAAATATCCTATCACCTAAACGCAGTAGTAGAATCTATACTCACTGACGAAGCAAAATCAGTAAAAACATAATTATATTTATGGTTTTCAAAATAAGCTAAATTTTAACACAACACTTTATATATTTAATTACCTGACATTCTGCCTGATGGTCCATGTGGCTCAATATCCATTTCTAAAGAAAAGGAAACCCATCATATTAATGAAACTAAGAGGCAGAAAAGTTATTAAATGATCTTCATTTTTTTCCCCTATTTCTAGCTAGTGTCTGAAATTGAATCAATGAAAAATGCAATGCCTGAAATTATATGCAAGAACAGGTACATCGACTCCTATCAGGACATATACAACTTAAAATTCATATTTGTTGGTATTTCATTTGGAACAGTTTTAAAATTTGCAGTAAAAAGACAGTAACTATACATTTTCCCAATTTATTATAATTTATTTGGTCTAGGCTTAGGAACAAGTAAAATGCAAGACTTAATTTGCCATTTTTAAATTTCACATAGTATAAATGTGGATATTTTTATTATTTGTCATTTTAGTTACATTTGTGCATCAATTAATGTAAATTCAGAAATTATTGCCAAGTTTTTATTAATATGAATAATGCTATGGGGTGAGAATCACAATAATAAGAACTCTCATTCTGGTATCAGAAACATATATCTGTATACAGATTTTCCTGATTACAAAAAATAATTTCACACAATCATTAATGCACACAATAATTTCTGAATTTACAGTTAAAGTTTGCAATTCGCATCAATATTTATGTTTGTTTAATGCGATAGCTAAATAAGTGAAAAGAATCTCTATGAAAAAATTTCCACTTTACATGCAGTAGTATATATATATTTGAATATATAGGTTTGAACGTTGTTTTCAATTTAGACTTGTTTATATTTTTTCGTTATATATATACAAGTCTCTTCAAACCTATGATTGCATTGGATAAAAACCGCAATTTTTATACATGTGCATGCAAAAAATATTTCTTGGTAGAGGGGTCTAAATATATATATATAGTGTTTAGCCGACATATTACATGAAGCATTGAGAAATTATTAAACCATGAAAACTTAATATCAGATTCCACATTTGTAATGTAACAATAACCAGTGCACATGCTGAAATATCTAGTCATATTTAAATTATGATTGAACTTTATGTTAAAATGCTTTAAGGTAGCTGGGGTGTCTTAAATGTATGACGATAATTTTTTCTTAAAACTTCTGAAAAAGACTTCTGGATCAATGTTCTTTCAAAGACCTTGTCTTTTCATTAAAATATGTTGAAATTAACAAAATCTGGGTTATTTTATATTAGTTTTCTAGGGGAAACTTAATTTTCCTTATTGAGGAACCATTAAACGATAGAATTGGCTAAAATTCATTGAGAAAATTCCTTTTCATAAATACTTCTGAAATATCAAATAAAAATAGGGGGTCACAGACTTATTTTTCTTGAAAAAATCTAAAAAACACAAATTGCCCTATCAAATTCAGTATAATTATCTGCCCTTGATTTTTAATGGATTTTTCTGAGAATTACAAAGACACTTTAGGACACTGATTTTTTTGATAGTTTAATCTTTAAATTTCAAGTTTAAGATATTTTTGTTGCATATTGAATGATACTTGGTAAAATAATTTTATGTAACATGCCCAGAAGGAATTTCGAAAAAGACACCCTATCTTGCTTAAGAAAACAGTTTTATTACAGCTATCGCATCAACTAAATGTCAACTAATGAACCATCAAAATGAAATCAATCCTGCTAGACGGACATGTACACCTAACAATCATTCCATTACCAAAAAAAGTTGTTTTATATGTCTTAAAGATCTCTATTGCTTGTTTAATCTGTTTATAGCGTTTCTCTATTCATTTTTGCTTTATTGTTAATATTCTAACAATAGGCTCATAAAAACCTGAATAGCTCATCTGTCAAAAAATTGAGATAAAAGACAAAACCTCAAAAGTTTAAAAAAAAAATCTTTCAGGGGAATAACAAATATAAAGAATTGCCCAATGGTTTAGGTTAAAATGGCATTTCTGTAGATTTTGTATTGCTGATCATTTTTGCTAAGAACAGTTTCTTCCTATATATTCAAGTGTTTATGGTTATGAGCAAAAACTAGTAAATCTGTCAAAAATCATCATTTCAGGACAAAAACAATAATTCAATAGAGATAAATGCTATATTCAGTCAAAAATTGTCATTTTAGGGTAATAAAGAATCAATTGATGGCTTATCAGATAAACTGGAATTTTTGAAGATCTTGCTTATCATGCGACATTTAGAAGTCAAAGGAAATAAGGCTCTGCTAGGAGTCATACTAATGTGGCAAAGAAGGGTAAAGTGTCTTTCTTTGGATTGTCACATGGGCAACTAACCTGTTCAAAAATTAGCTCAAATGTTATCATCCTAATATGCATGTAATATTTGCCACTGGATCTTAAACATGAAATGAAATATTGGTTACGGTTAACATACAATGATATTCTAACAGATTTATATTGACATTTTAAATATATTTTATTTTCAAAAGACATGTACACTTTACAATCATTGCATATTGCAACAGTGAAACATACTGAACCAAGAAATCATAGATTTGATCAATGAACCATGAAAATGAGGTCAAGGTCAGAGGAGCCCTGCCAGACAGATTACATCAAGAGACACAATCATTTCTAAATGTGCTTGAAATACAACTAATGTCCTCCAGCTGAGTCTAGCAATATTCAAGGTAATTTACACTGTCCAACAGTGCCTTTACGAATCTGGGTTATTGCACTAAAGTGCCCTTTCAGAAAACTAGCACCTTTCTGCCCTGAGATTCAAGCTGGAACACTGGATATGTACATCTTAAAATCATTCCCTACCACAAATACACTAGACATATTGCATATTGTATCCGAGAAACAGACCAAAGCACAAAAACTTAACAATGACCAATGAACCATGAAAATGAGGTCCAGACCGTCCATGTCAGATCAAACCTGCCAATCGGACATGAACAACTTACAATCATTCCATACAATACCTATATATTTAACCAACTGCTGATGCTTTCTGGTAAATGGACCAGTTCGCCTTCATCACAGAACTTTTAACCATGATCAATAATCCACTAAATGAAGCCTAGTCTGGATAACCTTGTCTAACAGACATAAAGACATTGAAAGGATCCAATATACCAAACATTTTTATCTTTTTACTCCAAAGCAGTGAGAAATTCACATGACAAAAAAACTGCATCAAGAAGTTAATAAACTGTTGACACAGAGATATGTCTTGCCTGTCCGCATAAAATTCAGAAAAAGACGATCTGATGGACAGCAAGATTGCTAATTAATTCAAAGTCACTGGACCAACTAGTGGGTAGGGCCTTAAATGGTTGACAAACTGAGATGCACAGACAGTAATGTAACTTTATAGAAGATATTGTCTATTGTAAGTAGTTCCTATCAAACTAATATCCCCATTACACTAGGACCACGATCCCTCTACGACCTCAGAAATTATGAAAAATTTTGGAAGTCGTAGTAAGATCGGGTGGTTGTGGTAAGGTCGTAGTAAGGATGTGCCAAGTCTTCTTGATCATGGAGGTCCACAACCAACTTTGAACATGCTCAAAACATTAGTAGTGCAGTCATGGCCAAAACTAGTCATTGTAGAAGCGTATGAAGGTCGTAGTGAGGATGTAGTAAGATCGGGATGGGCGTAGAAGCATGGTATTTGAAACATTGTGCAAACGGGGAAGCCAATGGAAAATATATCCTAGTCCAAATAATTATGACGTCTTGAAAGACTATTTCAATTTTTTTTCTATCGCCTTCCTACGACGTAAAATTAAAATAGCCTTTCAATACATCATAATAATTTGGACTATCTGCGACCTTACTACGATTTCACTGCAACTATCCCGATTTCACTACGTCTTTATTACGCTTCTACTATGATATTGATATGATTATACTACGATGAGGAAGACAATAATACGCTGCTACTACGCGCTTTTCGTCATTAGTATGACCTCATACTACTTAGTCTTAGCCACGAAAATTGCATGACCTCATTCTGTTAATACCTCTACTTTTAGCACCACGACCTCTAAGTGTTTTTGATACCTTTGGCGGCATGTTTTCTCAAGGAAAATGGCGTGTACAATGGGACAGTCAAGATATGTATAGGGACGAAGAGCACAGTGAAAACATAGTGGAGATGCAGTGGAGCTGTGGTTCAATCGTAGTAGACACGTATTGAGAAGGTCTTGGTAGAAGCATACAGAGATCGTGTAAGTTGTGGTAAGGTCTTACAATACGTAGCAAGAGCATGACAAGATCGTAACTAGAACATGTAACTGTCATAGTGGAATCGTTGCAGGATCTTATCAGGATCATAGCAAGGTTGTGGTATGAATTTGAAAACTATGAAATATTGAATAATGGTCACGATCTCACCCCGATCTTATTTTTTTATAGATTGTAGTGGGATGTTCATGGTCTTGGTCTATTGTGATAGGGGCTTAACTTAATCAGAAAACTTAATATTGTAAACTGTTAATTGATTGAAAGTTACTTGACCAAGACCTAGGGGGCAGGGCCTTGAAATAGTCATCAAACTGATATGTACTGATAGTTATGCATCTTCATACAAAATATCATTGATCTATCACAAGTAGTTCCTATCAAACTAACTTAAGCAGAAAACTTAACATTGGAAATGTTTAATTAATTCAAAGTCACTGGAACATGGGCTTGGGAGAAGGGCCTCAAAATAGTCATCAAACTGATATGTACTGATAGTAATGCATCTTCATAAAAAATATCATTGATCTCTCACAAGTAGTTCCTATCAAACTAACTTAAGCAGAAAACTTAACATTGAAAATGATTAATTAATTCAAAGTCACTGGACCACGGCCTAGGGGGCAGGGCCTCAAAATAGTCGTCAAACTGATATGTACTGATAGTAATGCATCTTCATACAAAATATCATTGATCTCTCACAAGTAGTTCCTATCAAACTAACTTAAGCAAAAAGCTTAACATTACTTAGAGTGCACACGCTGAAATGTCTCGCCTGTTTTACTGACCATTGATTTTATGTTGAAGGTCTTAAAGATAAAGGTTTTACTACAACTATCACATTAACTTAACA